AAATATTTGTTGGTTTTAAAATCCGATATTCCGATATATCGGCCGATATTGTTATTGAAACGCTCAACAAATCATTAACAGATTTCCCTAACATGAGTTATTTGTAGTTATTTATGAGTTTTAACTAAAATAATATGATAATGCATTTTAAAAAGAAACTTGTTTCTATTTTCTCAACAGAACACAGGAACATCAAAATATGTTAAAGTTCTGATAAATAAAATAATAATTAGTCCCTACATTGCCTTATAGTTATAAGCTACTTTATAATTACAATGTCAGCTTGCTTATCCCTTTACCTGCACTTTTTGACAACACTCATGACATGGTTGAAGCGTGATTCGTCCGTTTTTATTTTATTCTTGAAATATTCATTTATCTGCCATTATAACTGCCGATACCGATATTTTAGAAAATGCCTAATATCGGCCGATAATATCGGTCTGGCTCTAATTTATTTAACAGAAAAATAAAAAATTACAGCAATCTCGAAAAACGCAACAGATCAACCTATTAATCAATCATTTTAGCCCTTAAAACTCATCATTGATCACCAAAATGACATATTAAAATGTTTTTTCCTTGATATTCTTTTTTTTCATGCCTTAAAATATCGTGAATGTAACTCGACACCCTTGCCTCATTTAGTATTCACGATTCTATGAATATGCAGATTAGCCCCGCCTCCACTCACTCCCTCAGCTGAGAGATCCACTGGTTGATCACACGTTGATCTGATTGGTTACAAGGTTGCTGTAAGATTGCTGTCGACTTATGAATTAGCATTTGTTTTGTCTTTAAGCATATTAAAAACACCATATAGACATATAAATTACATTAAAAACTTGATATTCACCACAGATGATGGACAAACAGCAGCTATATATAACACTAGGGACTATTAGTTAATTAGAAACAAGGGCAAATCAATACTCAATACAACGGAAGAACAGAGACCAAGGAAACTGAACTAATAGTGGAAAACTAACTCAAACCCAAATAGTTACTTTTACATCATCAAAGTTTAAAATATTAGCATGACATCATTTGAAACGCACATATTTATATACCCAAACAGTTCATCACAATTCCCTGCTTCTGACCCTTTAGACAGATTTAAAAGGATATTCAGATTATGAAACTTTATTACTCTCTTATCTATTGACCTGGCTCTTAATCCAAATTGGAGAAAATGAGGGAAGCCATATTTGTTCTGTTTGCGAGAGTCACGTCCTGCATTTCTGTTAATCCTGCTGTTGATGGTGCAATATCACAACATCTGGTCATTTCAGAAATGGATTAAGGGAGCATTTCTTCTTCTATACAGTGCTGCAGTCATTTAGCTCATCTGTGATCGCTTGTAAACCTCCTTTTTAGGATTTTTTCATAAGCCCAATATGTTCTAAAACAGCATATGCGCTTGATTTCTGAACATAATCGCTTCACATGAGTGTTTAGTGACACAACTTTTAAAAGTTCAGTCATAATCTGTTTTAACTTTCTAAATTCAAGCTTCAAACTGAATGAATGTTTAATAATGGAGTGTCATTACCATTCGATTCCTTTTAGAGACCAAATCTCCTGGAAGCTTACAGTGTGGAAACTCATTATATGAGTAGTTCACTTTTAAAAAAACTTTTGCTGATAATTTACTCACCTCCATGTCATCGAAGATGTCCATGTCTTTCTTTCTTCAGTCGAAAAGAAATTAAGGGTTTTGATGAAAACATTCCAGGATTTTCTGCATATAATGGACTTCAATGGGGTCCAAAAGGTTCAAGGTCCAAATGAGAGTTTCAGTGCAGATTTAAACGACAATAGACGATGAATAAGGGTCTTATCAAGTGAAACGATCACTCATTTAACCCTCAGGTGCTCTTCGTTTCGGAGTCGGTCAAAAGTGACCAGACACCTAAAAATGAAACTTTCTCCATCCCAGTAAAACCAATGCAATTTATTTTTGCTCTATAATATTTATTCTTTTTAATTTAGTATTTTGAGACAGTTTAATTGATTTTATTAGTATTTATGCAATATTTATGGTTTATTTTTGCCATGGAAAAAAATATATATTTTTCTATATATATATATATATATATATATATTTATTTTTTTTCAAAAAAATATTAATGCAGTATTTTAGTGTAATATAGAGTCTAGGCCTTCAGAAACAAATTTTTTTTTAAGAAAATTTGCACCATCTGGTTACAGTATAGAGAAAAAGCGTAGAATCATGGTGTAACCACTAGATGGCATGTACAGCTCTCTATGGAGAAGCATGTGAATTCCCCAGATGTTTATGAACACATTTTTTTTGTTGTTGTTGGTGGATTTGAATGTACAGCTGAAACAATCTCAAAAACTATTTCTTATAAAAAAAAATTGACTAAAAAACAAAAATTCACAATTTTTTTTTTTTTTTTTTTTTTTTTTTACAATTTCCCATTCATTTCCTATGGGGGTCATTTTTGACCAAAGACCACAAGTGTGACTATTTTTTTAAGACCACTTAGCATGCTCAGATCATGACCTCAATTTTTTGTGTGTTCACATACATAATGCCATAAAAGTCACCAAGTTTCGTAACATTGCGACGAAGCTGTGATTTTTAAAAATTCAAAACAGAAAATTTTAAATGAAAGAAGAGCACCAGAGGGTTAATAAATAAATAAAAAAGTTTAAGATTTATAAGCACAAATGCTCGCCTTGCTCTGTTCTGTGATGCGCGTTCGTGACTCTCCTGTTCGAACTCGTTCATCAAAATGAACGAATCTTTTTCTGAGTCATTTCGTTCGTTGAATGAAACAGATGACTCGGAAAAAGATTTGTTCATTTTGATTATGCAGAACTTCAAGGCTTAATATAATTTAAACGAATGAGTTATTAAAAACTCACCCTCCTCACAGTCGTCACGAAGGACAAAATTAGCTATATAGACCAAAACCACTTTTTGCACCAGGCTGTAAACATGTTTTGTTCTGCTGTAAAGTCGAGACTGACTCTCTTTTGCAGCCTGTCTCTAGATTAGAATCGCAGTTTAAGTCACTTCCGTGTCGGATTCAAGAGAGAGACTGCCGCTTGTTAAAACCCTATAAAGTTGAAATTTAAAAAGAACTGAATCTTCTAGAACAGATGTACAGATCTGAATGTTTTGGTGTCTAACCAAGTATAGCAGAGCCTCTGTAAGACCCAGACCCGCAGCTCAGGTGTCTCTCAGTCAGATGTTGCTCATGTGCATCACGTTCACCATCTGCTGTTCTGCACACACACACTCGCGTCGAGCCGCTCCGAACACACCATACATCTGGACGTGACGCAACTCCCCAACTCCTTTGCTGCTTTATCTTTTGTATTACACGTGACATTTTGATCTCGGACTGCTGTGTGAGTCACATTGTGTTTCTCTTTTGGAGTTAGAAGGAGAGTGTGTGTTTATGCAAGTGTGTAATCTCTCATGTGGTTAATCTCTCTCCCATCTGTGTATATGTGTGTGTGGGAATCCTTTTGAGTGTTTTGAGGCTCTTCTTACACACACACACACACTAACAATATGCTAGATTAAGAAACTGTTCAAAACCATGACTAGTCTGTGGGTTTTCTGAATGACCAGAAAACTCCTGTATAATTAGGCTGGTGTGTTTTTTATTTTTTATTTTATGAATTTAAAATGAATTTAAAAACTTTTGCAAAAACCGCAGAATGACACATTTGGCACACAAGATGATGATGGATGGAGTTAAAGACAAATAAGTGCAAGTACATTTTATTTCTAAATCACTTTTCAGAATTGACATGGTTTCAGAGCAACTCTACAGATAAATATTGCTGAATGAATGACATAAAGTTCTCATTGTACGGTTGCTATATTCGTCTGTCTCAATTTGCACAATCAGTTTTCAACGATTAACGTCTCAAATCATAAAAGTGTGTCAGATGATATTTTGTGCATCTTTTGGCTAATATTACCCACAAGCCCTTGCGTTAGAGAAGGAGTTTATAATGGTACTCTTTTGACTTTTCCAGCGGCAAAGAGTGTTTTTATTAAAGTTATATTGAATATATTCAAGGAATTAATTTAGTTAGATGCTAATGCAAATAGTATGAGACAAAAAGTTTTTAAAATTGCATTGTCGAGGTAGTTTGTTACAATACTACACTCTAAAAATGCTGGGTTGTTTTAACCCAACTTTGGGTCAAATATAGACAAACCCAAACTTTGGGTTAAAAATGTATGTAGCCCAAACGTCCATATTTGACCCAAATTCGGGTTAAAACAACCAAGCGTTTTTGAGAGTGTAGCATACTGACCCATGAGTATAAAGACTATTATGGTAAATGTTATATATAAATTTAAAATATAAAATATATAAATATTAGGGCTGTGCAAAAATTAATTGCGATTAATCGCATCCAAAATAAAAGTCTGTGTTTACATAATATATTTGTGTGTGCTGTATATAATTATTTTGTATATATAAATACACACACATGCATGTATATATTTAAGAAAATGTGTTATTCCTATATAAAATATTTATATTTATATAATATAGATTATGTATTTATGAATATCTACAGAATTTAAGCGCAAATAATTCTTAAATATATACATGCATGCATATGTATTATATACAAAATAATTATATACAGCACACACAAATATATTATGTAAACACAGATTTTTATTTTGGATGCGATTAATCGCAATTAACTTTTGCACAGCCCTAATATATATATAATATAAATATAATAAACAATTTTTTGGAAATTACCACCACAAAATCAGTCATTTTGATCGCAAAAATCACAAAAAAAAAAAAAAAAAAAAAAAAATCGTGAAATCCTGGAGGGACTGTAAAGTGCATACTTTTATTATTGGCATGTGAATTGAGGTCATCAGGGGTCATACAAATGGACCTGGAGCAATTTGGATGGGGATCAGAATCAGATAGTGATGTGGTTTTGAATAATTTGATGAAATTACAACTATATGCCCACAGGTTTCTCATGGTCCTAGTGTGTCTGATATTCAGTGTCCTGTCCACCATCGAGCAGTATGCAGACTTCGCCTCAGGATTGCTCTTCTGGATGGTGAGTGTTTCACTAGATATCATCAATTCTGCCATTTCCAGTAAGCTAATGCAGTACCGTTCACTCCCACTGGATGGCACTGGCAGATCTCAGTTGAGTTGATGTTGAGTTCATGGAAAGGGCTTGAAGGCTTGTATTCCCAAGACCACATTAAAAACCACTGATTTAGCAGTTTGTATTCCTGTTCACACACACACACACACACACACACACACACACACACACACACACACCTGTAGACACCTGCAGTGGGGCGGATCCCAGAGAAATCCCAGAGGCTTTGAACGCCGTCCAGACACACTTCATCAAACCGGCACTGCCATCATTTAATGCATGTTTAATTGCCCTGCCTGGATGACAGATTTTAGTGAGTGTGTGTGAGATAATCCCCAAGAAAGATCCCTTTGAAACAGAGAGTTTTTGGCTCGCCTAGATCTTAAAGTCTTCAATCAACAGTCAGAGATCTCATTATGAATAAAACATTCATTTTATAGCCAATCCTAGTGTCAATCACTTTTAGGGTTGCCAACTTCAGAAAAGAATAATGTGGGACAATCGTGGTTCTTTGTGTACTGTATCGCTGCATCATTTCAGGTTCGTATGTGTTTAAATGGTGTGTTTTTGGTTAACCCTAACCCTAACCCTAACCCTATCCAAGATGTCCATGTCTTTCTTTCTTCAGTCGAAAAGAAATTAAGGTTTTTGATGAAAACATTCCAGGATTTTTCTCCATATAATGGATTTCAATGGGGACCAAATGAGAGTTTGGGCCTTTTGACTTGTGTAAGCAGGAGCTCCTCCTGTTTCTGTGTTTGTAGGAGATCGTGCTGGTGGTGTTTTTCGGGACGGAGTACGTGGTGCGGCTGTGGTCGGCCGGCTGTCGGAGCAAATATGTGGGCATTAAAGGACGTCTGCGCTTCGTCAGGAAACCCATCTCCATTATAGGTGATGCTCCACTGTAGATATGATATACTGCAGTGCATACTAATGTTAAAAATAGTGTGTGAAGCCGAATGTTATGTTGTTGTCGCATGACCCCACTACCGTTGCACATTGTTACGTGGATTGGCTGCCATATTTTTAATCCGATTCTTTTTAAAACATCTGGAATTTTCTCAGTCCAGTCAAATAAGAAACTTGGAAAAACATTTTTATTTTAATTTTATTACTTAAAGTAGTTCACTTTTAAAGAAAACTTTTGCAGGTAATTTACTCGCCCGCATGTCATCCAAGATGTCCATGTCTTTCTTTCTTCAGTCGAAAAGAAATTAAGGTTTTTGATGAAAACATTCCAGGATTTTCTCCATATAATGGACTTCAATGGGGACCAAACGGTTCAAGGTCCAAATGAGAGTTTCACTGCAGCTTCAAAGGGCTTTAAACGATTCCAGACGGTGAATAAGGGTCTTATCAAGTGAAACGATCACTCATTTAAAAATTAATTTTAAACAAACAAAGTTTAAGTTTTATAAGCACAAATGCTCGCCTTGCTCTGTTCTGTGATACGCGTTCGTGACTCTCCTGTTCGAACCCGTTCATCAAAATGAACAAATCTTTTTCTTAGTCAATTCATTCATTTCGTTCGTTCGTTGAATGAACCAAATGACACGAAAAAGATTCGTTCATTTTGATACGTTTGGTATCAAATATGACCGTGAACCGTTTGGACCCCATTGAAGTCCATTATATGGAGAAAATCCTGGAATATTTTCATCAAAAACCTTAATTTCTTTTCGACTGAAGAAAGAAAGACATGGACATCTTGGATGACATGGGGGTGAGTAAATTATCAGCAAAAGTTTTTTAAAAGGTTGTGTCCTCACTGGAAATTTATCTCAATTTCAATATTTTTTCATTTTTAATTTTTTTTGTCCTGTTATATGACCATCTAATTTACTATCAATGAGATACTATAATGTTTTTTTTTTAATTACAATTTTTTTTTTTTGGTTATACATTTTAACAACCCTGTTTTTTCCTGATTTAGTTTTTCTTTAACCATAGTGTCATTTTTTTCCCCGTCCACCAAAATATGTCATATTTACAGAATAAAGCCCTTTATCTGTACCAAGATTATTAATAATTTCAGTCTCTTCTTGTGCTCATGACACAGATCTGATAGTGGTCGTCGCGTCTGTCGTGGTTCTCAGCGTCGGGTCCAATGGGCAAGTGTTTGCCACGTCCGCAATCAGGTACAGAAATATCAACACACACACGTTTGATCAGAAGGACCAGACTGATGTTTATTTTAGTGTGTTTATTAATGCTCTGTGTGAACTTGTAGAGGGATCCGTTTCCTTCAGATACTGCGCATGTTGCATGTGGATCGTCAGGGTGGAACTTGGAGGCTTCTGGGATCAGTGGTTTTTATTCATCGACAGGTACGCTTGGTTTGCGGCATGACCGTAATTCTTTACAGTGCAATGAAACCCACTGATTTCCTCAAACCGAGTTAATCAGCACACGCCTGGCGTAACCAACCTCAGAGTCTCTCTCCAAATACGGCCTCAGGAATTCACATCACGATAATCTACGCTCATCTCAGGCTTTACACTTTAAATCCAACTACTTCACGCTCACATTTTCTCAATCATTTGACCGTTGACGCACGTCTCATGAAAGGGCTGAAGTTCTCAGGCATGATTAGGCTAATTCATTCAGCTCCCCGTGTGCTTTCACATATTGCCTTTTAAGGTCAGGTGCTTTTATACTCAACGGCGTACGCCACGTCATCTACTCCAAACCAGAGAGTAAATGAGCACACACCATACACTGTACATCACAAACAAAAACAATTAAACTGTGTTTTTATTAGTCATGAATATTCATGACTAATAAAAACTAGTCATTAGTGATTAGTCATAATATTGCTCTAATAAGTAGCATAACATCTCTCTCTCTCTCTCTCTCTCTCTCTCTATATATATATATATATCTTCTTCACCATTTATTCAAATATTATTACAAATTTGTTAAGATTTTGTTGGCATTTGTGATAATAACACAATGAAACATCATTTTTGGCCAGGCTACAAAGAAATTATGAACGCATGCAAAAATATGAAAGAACCAAATAAATATGAATAAGTGATTAAGTTGTAGTCGATGTATGCTTTTCTCTGTGAGCTTTTTTGTTTTGCATATTAAAATAAAACCTGTAGCTGGAGTTCAAAAATGTTCTGATAAATACTGTAACCAAGTTTATTGTGTTGTTTTTCCTTCATATTTAAAATATTTAAAAGATACAAAATATTTTCCACATATTTTGATTGTTTAATCTAACTTGTGGGCTCATAGAAAACTAGTACCTACATTATATATATATATATATACATGTATATATGTGTGTATATATATATATATATATATATATATATAGTAGATCTGTCAAAATCTGTAGATTAAATATGTAATGCTTATGTAGAACAACTTTCATAGTCATTAATTTAGTCCTGTAGTGCAACACATAATAGAAAAAGAGATCAACATGCTATACATAGAAAACTATTAACTTTTATTGTTTGTTTGTTCATGCAGTCATTAAATTGACTTTTTTTCATTTATATACTATTATTATTTTTAATAATTTTTTGTTTTTGTTAACTGCATGCATTTTTAGTGGCATCATGTTATTTAGAGATTACATGGATCACATTTTTCACAAAGATGAATGGTGACTTCTAAGATCTGAGAACGTTCCTAAAATGTTCACATAACGCTAATTGTGTATTTATATTATTTATTAGGGCTGTGCAAAAATTAATTGCGATTAATCGCATCCAAAATAAAAGTTTACATAATATATTTGTGTGTGCTGTATATAATTATTTTGTATATATAAATACACACACATGCATGTATATATTTAAGAAAATGTGTTATTCATATATAAAATATTTATATTTATATAATATAGATTATGTATTTATATATATCTACAGAATTTAAGCGCAAATAATTCATAGGTATTTAAATATACAAAATAATTATATACAGCACACACAAATATATTATGTAAACACAGACTTTTATTTTGGATGCGATTAATCGCAATTAATTTTTGCACAGCCCTAGTTTTAACCTAAAATCTTGATGTTGGACACAGGTTCATCTATATTATTTATGAGCTGTCGTTTCTCCCGGTTCAGGAGCTGATCACCACGCTGTACATCGGGTTCCTGGGTCTGATCTTCTCCTCATATTTTGTGTATCTGGCGGAGAAGGACGCAGTAGACGAGGAAGGGAAGACGGGGTTTTCCAGCTACGCGGATGCTCTATGGTGGGGCGTGGTGAGTTCACTCTTCTTCATCAGAGAGTTGACAAGCAGAGATAAGACCAGGGTTAGTTGCATAAACAGAGTCATATTGTGTCTTAAGAACTAGCCATGAGTCGGTGTTTCCTGAAAGCATCGTTGTAACTAACTCTAAGGAAAGTGCAAATAATAATTTCAGAGCTTTACTTTATTATTTTCTCTGTTAATATTAAGAGACTTTTATTTTGGCGCTTCCTAGTGGAACGTTAATTTCGCGTCTAAAAGGGTGAGACTAGTTAGTCAGACACACCCACGGAAGAAAGAAAGAAGGAAAAGCACATTTCGGTCTGAAATTTCTTCTTGAAACAACGTAAGAGCTACAGGACAGATAAATAACATAAAATGAGCTCTTACAAACATAAACAAATTAACCGTATAAACAGTCGTTTATAAAATACCTTTTCCGTGACATTGCTTGAGTATTATTAACAATGCTAAAAAATTTACGTTAGCTTGCCACGAGAGAAAATAATACATTTAAACACTTCTTCACAGATAAATGGATTAACCTTCATATTACTGCACATAACCATTAACCCCTTAAGTGTCACGGGCCCAACGGGGGCCCAAATCCATTACATTTTTAAAACAGTATTATCCTATACTAAACCTAAACTAATCTTGACAAACTATATATCATTTGAAAGCTTAGAATCTCTAGTTTTCATATATGGTGATTGATTTTCAAAATATATTACAGAGGAGCTGTAATTTATCAATTTGCAACAAGAATATTTTCATACTCTAAGGTGTGTTTAGACCTTTATTTTGAAATTGTGATGAACATGAAAAATCATGAAAGAAGGGTAGAAACCTGTTTGTTTTCATGCCAATAGTTCAAAAGAAAGCCTCCATTCAATTATTTTATAATTATAATTATAATAATTATTATTTCATATGGAAATGGAGGCGCCCTTATATGGGCAGTGATGGAGTCTGGTTGTGCCCTAGTGAAAAAGTTTGGTACTGCGCCCAAACAAAATCTCACTGAAAGCTCATTTTTTGAGATATCAACCTAAAATTTGAAACACAACTTATTCAGATTTTTGGCTTTGATTTTTTTTTTTTAGCAGTTTTACAGTCGCCAGGTTTTGAAAATATATATTTTATATAAAATATGAATAATTAAATTTTTTATATTGTACATTTTCATAAACTCAAACTTCTATAACTTTTCTTCTGTTTCACATTCTTAATTGATTTCAAAAATCTGCCAAATGTCTTCTTTAAAACGAGACCATTTTTACGTCTATATTCCAAAGCATTCTTGAATTACAACCATTTAAGTTCGAAATGTGCATTTTCATCTATATTCATAAAAGGGGGGGGGGTGACACTTAAGGAAACAAGTTAAACACACAATACCTTGTTCCCGTTCCAGCTAGGTGCTTAAATGATCCTTTTTGAGCGAAATGTGCTTTTCCTTCTTTCTTCCGTGGGTGTGTCTGACTAACTAGTCTCACCCTTTTAGACGCGAAATTAACGTTCCACTAGGAAGCGCCAAAATAAAAGAAAATAATAAAATAAAGCTCTGAAATTGTTATTTGCACTTTACTTGGAGTTAGTTACAATCGTTCCATCGAACATTCGCAAACAGCTTCGCAGAGTTGTGTGTTTGAGACAGATCTCGATCTGTGGTTGTGGACTCGATACATCCGTATCTTGAGCAAAATAAGCAAGCAGTGCAATCTTTATCTTTTATTTAGGATACAAACAAATGTCATTTACGTCTTTTAGTTTTTAGGCATTGTGGGGTCCTGATCCCACCATATACCATTTAGAAACTAAAGTCATCCCTGATTGGTCTTAGCCCCAGTGACGGGTAGGTTTAGGGGCGGGGTTAGGGGTAGGCCATCGTCCCTGATTGGTCTTAGCCCCAGTGACGGGTAGGTTTAGGGGCGGGGTTAGGGGTAGGCCATCATGGGGTCCGGATAACAGGAAAGTACCAAAGTAGTTATTACTCCAGCACGTGTGTGACATGATTAACCGACGTGACCAGTTTGCGACAATACGGGTTCGGGAAACAGTCGTGACTCGCTAGTAACTAATACTATACTCCACTTTTTTTGGAAATAGGCTCATTTTACAACTCCCCCAGAGTTAAACTGTTGAGTTTTACCGTTATTGAATCCATTCAGCCGATCTCCGGTTCTGGCGGTACCACTTTTAGCATAGCTTAGCATACATCATTAAAGTGGGCAAGACCATTAGCATTTCTCAAAAAAAAAAAAAAAGACTAAAGTGTTTCGATATTTTTCCTATTTAAAACTTGACTCTTCTGTAGATACATCGTGCACTAAGACCGACGGGAAATGTAAAGTTGCGATTTTCTAGGCTGATATGGCTAGGAACTATACTCTCACTCCTGCGTAATAATCTAGACACTTCACTGCCGTACCATGAGTGCAGCAGGCGCAATGATATGATGCTTATATTTTATATCACGTCTGGTCTGGTGAGTTTCGGGGTCTTGCTTTGGGATTGCTGAGAATGTTTTTACCCACAACAGAAACTTGAGGCTCTAAAATGCGTGTGATTTTTCTTTGTTCTGTCACATTGCAAACCACACAAGAAAAGAGGGTCATAAAACATCCAGCTCCAAATCAGCCCACTCGAAAAGGCCATTGGCATCGGCCCTGGATGAAGTTTCCAGTGCAGTTAATTAAAAAGCTGAATTTAGTGTGAACCGTAATGAGAAACCAATCGTACGCCTGTACGGGGAATCTGAGAGCTACAAAAGCTTGGCCAATGTCCCTTTCACCTCTCGCTCAAAGAGCTTTCTCCTCCGCACCGTAAAGTGTCGGATCCGTTAATTAAAGCTTTAATTGCAGAGGCCGTACCTCTCCGTGAAGAGGGTCAGAAAGAGTATGGCCACCCGTTGGCTCTCGAGTCGTGGACAAAAGCAGTTGTTTGTATGGAGGAGGCGGCATTGAGAAACCCTCCATGGGGGTCGTCTCGCTTTCGTCTCCGTGAAGTCTACAAAACTTTAGATTGAAGGGAGGAATTACAGATGGTATCGACTTGAACTTGGATGGAAAAATTGTTATAGCTACACTCTTATAAAGCAACGGTTCTATATGGAACCTTATATGGAGCCTTTTAGGGGTTAATAATTCTTTTTTTTTCATACATTTTATTGGACACAGCGTTCAAACAATATTTGCAACATAATACAATATACATCTCCATTTTGTGTTTTCAGAATTCTTCCAAACAAATGTTTTGTGTAAAAATGTATACATTTTTAATTTTAATTAAGTTTCAGAAATTAAACAGCTCCTAAACCTACATCACTAGAAGAAAAGAAAAAAAAAACATATTGTAAGATATCATAACGTGAAAGTATTATGCAATTATGTAAGACATTTCTCTTTATATAAAAAAGACTTGCTTTATTTGCATATTAACTTTTGTCTTACACTCTTAGAAGAAAAGGTTCTATATAGAATCAGCGCTACGTATTTGGAACCCCTAAAAGGTTCTATACACTCTTAAAAAAGGGTTCCTCTGGGTTCTATATAGAACCCTGGGGTTCCGTACTTGGCCAATAGAACCTTTTACCAAAAAAAAAAGTTCTATATAGAACCCTGGGGTTCCGTACTTGGCCAATAGAACCTTTTACAAAAAAAATTGTTCTATATAGAACCCTGGGGTTCCGTACTTGGCCAATAGAACCTTTTACCAAAAAAAAATGGTTCTATATAGAACCCTGGGGTTACATACATGGCCAATAGAACCTTTTACCAAAAAAAATGGTTCTTTATAGAACCCTGGGGTTCCATACTTGGCCAATAGAACCTTTTACAAAAAAAATGGTTCTATATAGAACCCTGGGGTTACATACATGGCCAATAGAACCTTTTACCAAAAAATGGTTCTATATAGAACCCTGGGGTTCCATACTTGGCCAATAGAACCTTTTACCAAAAAAAGGTTCTATATAGAACCCTGGGGTTACATACATGGCCAATATAACCTTTTACCAAAAAATGGTTCTATATAGAACCCTGGGGTTCCATAATTGGCCAATAGAACCTTTTACCAAAAAAATGGTTCTATATAGAACCCTGGGGTTACATACATGGCCAATAGAACCTTTTACCAAAAATGGTTCTATATAGAACCCCGGGGTTCCATAATTGGCCAATAGAACCTTTTACCAAAAAAAATGGTTCTATATAGAACCCTGGGGTTACATACATGGCCAATAGAACCTTTTACCAAAAAAATGGTTCTATATAGAACTCTGGGGTTCCATAATTGGCCAATAGAACCTTTTACCAAAAAAAAAATGGTTTTATATAGAACCCTGGGGTTCCATACTTGGCCAATAGAGCCTTTTACCAAAAAAAAATGGTTCTATATAGAACCATTTTGGAGTTCCATATATGAAGCAGAACCATTTTGGAGTTCCATATATGAAGCGGGGGATGGAACCATTTCTGGTTCTAAATAGAACCATTTCTTCTAAGAGTGTATGGTTCTATTGTGTTAGGTTCTATAGAGTGTTCTATTGTGTATGGTTCTATAGAGTGTTTCTTCTAAGAGTGTTCTAGGTGTTTCTCCTTAAAGAAAAAAACAAACAAAAACAACAACGAGACCATCATTGTTGTTCTAAATTTATCAATTGTCACATTCATCTTTATATAAATGAAGTACCCTCTGTTTATACTCTGTTTATAGATAATTTTCTCAAAAATTCCATCTTTTCAATAGAATAAATGTCCAAACTTCTTGTGTATTTACAACTACAAAACAGATATATTCAGTTCTATATGCTAATTGATTAATACAGAATTCCTAAAATATACACAAAACGCTATAAAAAGTGGCTATATTTCTCAAGTCGCTCTTAAGAAACCATATATCTTGATTTAAAAAAGAAGAAGAGCAGTGTGCAGATACATTTAGCAAGATTAAAGACAAGACAGGGGAAAAAACTAGAGCTGTAATCGCAGCCCACACACACACACACACACACACACCGAGATGTTAGCTTTGGTTTTGCCACACACGTAGAACATCGACTGAACTCCGTGACTCAATAACTCGGCGTGAATTGGTTGGCTGGAGAATATTAGGGGTCCCGAAGTCTCACACAAACACACACTTGAGTCCCGGTGACTGTGGACTCCCTCTCGCCGGGGCCTTTGTGGTCTTTTGGATGTTCAGTGGTGGGATTAAACTCTCGCCACCCAGAGCACTTGTATGACGCCTGGTCCTACTTTAGCTCTTTTTGTCCGTCCTGAATGGAAAGACTGCAAACACACCTCGTCACCAGAAAGCCCTCTCGAACGGACTCCGCTTTCACGGCGTGTTTGTTTTCCTGCGTTTGCTGAAACCCGGCGTTTTGTGCGGGATTAGGGGAAAAACGAACCGAGCGTGAACTTCAATAGACGCCTCAGAAAATACTCAGATATTCTTAAATATGTCACGTCTGATGTTTCCACTCACCCTTTCTGTGTATTTGGTGTTTCCAAAGTGTAAATAAACCATATTGTGTGTATAATGTCTGGTCAAGATAGACCAGAAAACGAATGTTCGGTAGGAAACGAATGGTTTTTGCCTATGCAGTTTGTAAGAATATTTTTATTTGGTTGCCAGGATGTTCTGTGTATTTTTTTTTAGCCATTTCTTTATGGTTGCTAAGATGTTCTGGGTGTTTTTAATGAGAAGTGATAGTATTATAGGCAAAGTGAATGCAAAGTGAATTTTTAGTTGTTCTGAATGTGGTTTTATACAGTAGTATGTTGCTGCGGTGTCTCGTCTTTGTTGTTTTGTCCATGTTAGTCATTAAAACTGATGAGCGTGAGTGTTTTTCTCTTAGGTTACGGTGACTACGATTGGCTACGGAGACAAAGTCCCTCAGACGTGGATTGGGAAGGCCATCGCCTCCTGCTTTAGTGTGTTTGCCATCTCCTTCTTTGCTCTGCCTGCGGTAAACACATTGACTTACACACACACACACACACATTCTCTGCGCTTGTCTGGTGCCCCGGGGCAGTGTTTTTCTACGGAGGCCCTTCAGTAATGGGGTCTGGGGTTAATGTGGTCCATTTAAGAGTGATAGGGCCTCCAGGGGCCTCAGGGGCCCGCAGTCCTCATGTTACACATTATATAATATGCATCTGCAACATTAGAATTAAACACAACTACTGCATTAAAAAAAATGTGTATACTGTATATAATAAAAAATAATATGTAATTATGTAAATATAAATTGTACAATTTTAAATGAATATATAATCTGATTTTTTTAAATTCAATAATAAATTAATATATATATATATATATATAAATGAATATAAAATAAATTGATATCAAGTTCCGTAATTATAATAAAGTATAAACTATATATCATTTTAAATGATTTTATAATCAATTAATTAATAATGAAATAAATTGTAAAATAATTATATAATAATGCTTCTATAATAAATTCATATATATATATATATATATATATATATATATATATATATATAATTTTACATTAATATATTATCAATAAATAAATTAGTAATACAATAAATTATGTAATATTATGTTACACATTATATAATATGCATCTGCAACATTAGAATCAAACACAACTACTGCACTAAAAATATTTGTATACTGTATATAATAAAAAATAATATGTAATTATGTAAATATAGAATTTATAATTTTAAATTAATATATAATCCGATTTTTTTTAATTCAAATATATATATATATATATATATATATATATATATATTTAAATTAATAAAAAAATTGATATCAAATTCCGTAATTATAATAAAGTATAAATTATATATAATTTTAAATGACTATATAATCAATTAATTAATAATAAAATAAATTATAAAATAATTATATAATAATGCTTCTATAATAAATTCATACAAATATACATATATTTTACATTATAATATTATCAATAAATAAATTAGTAATACAATAAATGATGTAATATTTCTATAATAAATTCATAAAAATATAAATAATATATTTATACAATATACAACATATATAATACATTCATATAAAAATATATATAACTAAATTCTAATTGGTATAAAACAATCAACATCATTCATGAATATCACATATTTATTATGCTTCTATTTTGTAACCGTACAACGGTAATGTTTAATTTTTTCCATTTGGTTTAATTATTTTGTGGTCCCCGATTGTTTGAACTGTGTTCCTCTGTGTGCAGGGCATTCTGGGATCGGGCTTTGCTCTTAAAGTCCAGCAGAAACAGAGACAGAAACACTTTAACCGGCAGATTCCCGCCGCAGCCTCTCTCATACAGGTGACACTGATCATTTCTCTCCTAATATACTTTAGAAAAGTACATATTTTTTGGCTTTAAAATTCCAATTGTGTGGTAACCGTATTATAAAAGCAATAAGGTACTCGAGGCTTATCGTGAAGATATATTCATATATGTAACTCAGACGCTGTGGAGATGCTATGCTTGCGAGAAGTCCAACGGGTGTACGGCCACGTGGAAGATGTACGTGCTGACGGGCGACTACATCCCCATCATACACTCGGAAAACTCCAGTCCGGGCAACTTCAGACGGCTGGTGAGGAAACACACACTCCCTGTTTGCAAACGGATATTCCTCTGTCTTGTCTTTCAAACCCTGTGTGTTGTTTTTTTCGGTCATTGTCACGTTCCTTCCTGTCGATTGTCCCGACTGAGCCTCCATAGCGGGACACTGCAAAGCCCAGACGGTGCGAGTATTTTTCTAGAGGGGCTTATTGTGCGTTAAGTCCTTTCTATAGGCTCATGTGAATTTCCCAGAATGCATGTAAAGGCCTCTGCAGGGCGTAGGTGAACAGGAGAGGCTTTAGATGGCGTTAGATTAACATTGGACCGTATAAAAGACTTTTTAGCTTGTCCAGTAACAGACCATTTTCCCCCTGCTGTTTGCCATTTTTTTCAAGTGTTATGTTTATATATTTGGGACTCATTTTATCTACATTTTATCTAATATTTCTAATACACATTCCTGGTTTGAAATATGTCCGCTTACAAAAGTTTAAATGCATATGTAGTCTATGACTTTTCCTGCTACTTTTTAGTGTTGTGAAGATTGAATCAGTTCATAGAAATGAACTGATTTAGAAAATGATTCATTGATTCATTTTCTGTGCAGCATTTTATACAGTTGTATTGTAACATATACATATTTATTTAAATACTGGCTAATCATAAATGTTTCTTGAGCTGCAAAATCATCATATTAGAGTGATTTCTGAAGGATCATGTGACACTGAAGACTGACAGCGACTGAAATAAATGACACTTTACTATATATTCACATAGAAAACAGTTATTTTAAAGTGAAATAATATTTCACAATATTATTGATTTTTAGATTATTAATTGATTAAATATTAAATTATTAAAAAAAAAAAAGGAGTAGTTCACTTTAAAAAAAACTTTTTCTCAGTCGAAAAGAAATTAAGGTTTTTGATGAAAACATTCCAGGATTTTTCTCCATATAATGGACTTCAATGGGGTCCAAACGGTTCAAGGTCCAAAAGACCGTTTCAGTGCAAACTGATTAAAGAGCTTTAAACGATTCCAGACGATGAATAAGGGTCTTATCAAGCGAAACGATCGCTCATTTAATAAATAAATAACAAAGTTTAAGTTTTTTAAGCTCAATTTCTCGCCTTGCTCTGTTCTGTGATGCGCGTTCATGACTCTCCTGTTCGAACTCGTTCATCAAAATGAACGAATCTTTTCCCGAGTCAACTCGTTCGTTTCGTTCGTTGGTGAATGAACCAAATGACATGAAAAAAGATTTGTTCAATTGATAAACGAGTTCGAACAGGAGAGTCACACCCATCACAGAACAGAGCAAGGTGACCATTTGAGCTTATAAAACTTAAACTTTGTTATTTTTTTATTAAATGAGCGATCGTTTCGCTTGATAAGACCCTTATTCATCGTCTGGAATCGTTTAAAGCCCTTTGAACAGTTTGCAGTTTTCACTGAAACTCTCATTTGGACCTCGAACCGTTTGGTCCCCATTGAAGTCCTGAAATCCTGGAATGTTTTCATCAAAAATCTTCATTTCTACTTTTCGACTGAAGAAAGAAAGACATGGACATCTTGGATGACATGGGGGCGAGTAAATTATCAGCAAAAGTTTTTTAAAAGTGAACTACTTCTTTAAGTTAAATAACTTGTATTTTATCTCGTTTTTAAACAGCTTGACCGTCATTTAACTAGTTTAGACGATGAAAAGCTAGCATTCGAGTGACTTTTTGAAGCTTTTTGCCATTCAACATTTTAATTAACACACGGATTTAACCCCGCGGTGGATTTCAAGGTGAAAGCGGGTTGGGATGTAGGTTTAGGTGTGAGAAGCTGATGTCATGGGATGCCGTGGTTTCTCGCTGTCTCTCGCTCACCCATTTGACCCTCTTTGTCTCTCTCGCACAAAGACTCAGTCAAATGCCATGATGTCATCGCAGCCTCTCTCCTGGGAGCAAAACCTTTGTGTAGCGCAAGAACAACAAAACAATCTTTGTGTAGCTCTGACTCCAAAACATATTGGGTCCAACTCTTTCGGCGCGGGCGTGTGACTGCTCTCGTTCATAAACCTCTCATTCATTCATCCGTCCTGTATTTACTTCATTCGGGCCAGTGGGAAGCAGTGTGTGTGTGACGTGACTCATATTTTACTCCGGAGGTATTCGCTTGTGTAGGTTGCAAAGTCACCGCAGAATTCATAAATTCACGAAATGCATATTCATGATGCTCTCCAATAAAGGGCAGATTTGTGGGATTTTACCCTTGTGAATCGTCGACGTGTCTTTTTATTTTTACGCAAGTCTTATCAGCGAACAAAGAGTTTCTTGAAACTGCCGTGTCGATTGCTTATCAGATTGTATATGAGATTTAATGTGGCTTTGTTTTTGGGTTTAAGATTCGTACGTCACAGTTATTCTGAATTCCTCTTTTCTTGCAATAATGCATAATGGCATTTAAAGAGAAAAATCATTGTTTACTCTCCCTTATTTTGCATATGACTTGCTTGCTTGCTAAAATTATTTAAAGAGTATTTGCCATTGTTTTCCGTAAAATATGAGGAAGTGAAAAGATAAATTAAAGTGTTTTATTGGTTGTTTTCAATGTAAGTGTTTCTGCAAACTAATGTTATTTTAGTATTATTTATATGTAATTATTAATATTTTGGATTGGCTTCGTTCTACATTTTCAGCTTTCATTTTTAATTAGTTGTTTTATAGTAATCTTGTTATGAGCTTTTGTCACAAAATTGTATTTAGCTTTACTTTATTTAAACTTGATTCGCCACAGGGGGTCTTTAACTTAACGTTAACTTTAAAGGAGTAGTTCTCTTTTAAAAAAAACTTTTGCTGATAATTTACTCACCCCCGTGTCATCCAAGATGTCCATGTCTTTCTTTTTTCAGTCGAAAAGAAATTAAGGTTTTTGATGAAAACATTCCAGGATTTTCTCCGTATAATGGACTTCAATGGGGTCCAAACGGTTCAAGGTCCAACAGAGCAAGGCGAGCATTTGTGCTTATAAAACTTAAAAATTTTTTATTTATTTTTTAAATGCCGATCGTTTTGCTAGATAAGACCCTTATTCATCGTCTGGAATCGTTTAAAGCCCTTTGAAGCTTCACTGAAACTCTCATTTGGACCTTGAACCGTTTGGACCCCATTGAAGTCCATTGTATGGAGAAAATCCTGAAATGTTTTCATCAAAAACCTTAATTTCTTTTCGACATGGGGTGAGTAAATTATCAGCGAAAGTTTTTTTTAAAAGTGAACTAATCCTTAGTAGTCCAGACAGGTAAAGCTCAAATCGTATTTATTAGTGAGTATTTATCGTTTTCCATTCAAACAGGGGTAATCTAGCTCTAAAAATGACAAATAAAGGCATCATAAAACTTGTAGTCCATGTAATGTTGTGACTCTCGCCTCCTCAGAGCAAGCGATACAAGCGGAAGCCCAAGGCCGTGCGAGATAACGGTTCTCTGGGTCGCGGAGGAGAACGAGCCATATCCATCCCGCAAATCACCTACGACCACATCGACGATAAAGACGCGGTCTTCTCAGACGAGTCCTCAGGTAACTCAAGCTTGCCTGCTGTTCTCTTCTCTATTAGCATTGAAACTGATTTATGCTATCATAGGTTCTCCCTCACTCGTCCCGCTCGCCACAGGAAACACGATGAATGGCGACTGTAGAACGCAAAAGCCCAATCCCGGACATTTTGGGTGATCTCGAAACACATTTTCAGGCAGACACATCACCAATAGCCTAGACTTGTTGTTTAACGACTGCGCTCTGTTACCTAGGGCAGCGAAGCAAGTGCATTCTGGGAGTTGTAGTCTTTCATCCACATAAGCCAAAAATACACTTTCTGGCTTCTCTCAGTCTAGAAAGCTCCAAATTCAAAACTAATTTCTACATAAATGACCCATTTTATATACACATTCATCTTTCCAGAGGTGACGTATCCCTTTAACAGTGTCACATGAGAAGCCCGTCCGTTAAATAAATTAGACCGCTTGATTTTATTAAGTCTTGCGTATGAATGAGTGTCGACTCGTATTGGCCAAATTCACCAGAACGGTTTCATCTGGCTTCCAGGAAACGGGAAATACCTGAGTAGTAATAAGCACAAAAATCACAAGAAACTGAAAAGTGAACGTTTCTTCTCCACTGGCGCGTCCACTGGAATCCATCAACCAGAAAACAAGACACAAAAGAGGCTGCAGTCGTTTACTTACTCCATTCTTTTACCCCATAAATTGAGCGGAAGCGCATAAAGAGGATGGGAAGATGAAAAGTTTCGACGTGACCCACTTTTCCGTATTGAATAAATGTCATTTTCCACATGTGAATGGAAGGCATCCGGTGCTCAAACGGTCCCCTGCTAAACCAGTCTGTTAATAAGTCTGTTTTTATGAGTTTTCCTGTCAAATGGCTTCATCATAAAAGCAGACACATCGACACAGACGGTCCCCAGCAGAGACGTCTCTTCTGAAGCTTAATTAGATGAGAAGAGGGGAAAGATAATGAAATCGCAGCACATGTCTGCAGTCCTTTGAACTGGGGAACTGGTTTGGCTTATCAAAGCCTGTTAGATGGTCTGAGCGTTTCACCGTTCATTTTCTCAGCGTCTCAGTGAGTGCTAAAGTTCATAACATTCAAGAAAAGTGACATTTTCAAAGTTAAACTAGATATTCAACAAGACAAATATGGTTTTTATCCATTGGGAATTGACTGGATTGTTAAAAGTTAGACCAAATGTCCCAGTAAGTTGAAACGGTTGCATGTTTTTCCCTTTACGCAGGCTTCACAAAACTTTTCCGATCGTCAGGTGAGAACTTTGGCGCTGTGGTTTTCTGCTTCTGCTTTTTTGCAAGTGCATGTTGCATTGATGTGGCTTGCGACGTAAAGACGCTTAAAAACTCAAATGTGTGCTATTTTTGCAAAAAGTGACAATTAAAAGGGTTTGCATAAATGAAACAAGGCTTGTGTGTGTAAGGAAAACAATCCACATTTTTTTTTTAGTGAATTAAGTGCATCATCAGGGTATTTAATGTTGAATTTTATTACACTATAATAAAAATGGCATAGAATAGTGTGCAATTTGGGACGCATCTTTTTTTATCACGCTAATTGGTTAGCATGCATAACATAATGCACTTAATTTTTCAGTCTATTAAGTGCATCATTCGGTTTAAAGTGCACTTTATTCACACTATTTATGCAAAAAAACCAAAAAAAAACAACTGTCATAAGTACACACCTGCTTTACTACCTCAACTTTCATATAGATCGCCGCTTATATTGTGCTGTTTGTCATTTAGCATGATCTTAGATTGCACTTTTCCTTCTATCTGCATGTCAATAGAACGGCAGCGCTCGTGGTCGGCTTTCGCTCTCAGCTGTCCTTCTTCTCCAGGTATCTGTCTTTCTTTTCCTTGCCTCTTCTCTTTTTCTTTCTCAGTCTCTTTTCTTGAGTTTATTCCAGAATCCGTACATTTTCTGGCATTTGTGACAATTATTTTTATTCTATCACTTCTAAATACTTGCCTGTTGTCATGGGGGTTTGTGGATTAATGGAGATACTATCATTTAATTTTCTCTATAGTTAAGAAAAAGTTGGATGACCCCGTCATCTCCCGAAACAACAGTCTGGTGGATGAACTGGACTTCACTGGAGAAGACATCGCTCTTCCTGTAGTAACAGACACTTCACAGTGAGTTACTCTTGGTTTTCATCCATTCATCCATCCATCGAACTCTGTGGCTGTTTGCTTGTGCGCGTTTTGCAGGCTGATGTTGTTCGGTTTAGGAGTTTTGGGTTTGCATGTATGGTGTAAACAAGCAAATGCTTTTGGATTTTCCTCTTTTCCCCTGTCGTTTCATTTCTCTTTTGAAACATCCTCACCTTTTCCTCCTTTTCTCTCTGAATCATCTCAAGATCTTCCTGTTCCTCAGATGTGAGGTGAAGGAAAACTCCTGTTTCTCTCTTTCAGTCTGTTGAGAAGCCCAGTTGTGGCAAAAGTAGAAGAATCAGTCTCTACTCAGCATCTGAATACAACCAGGTACTGTTTCCTGTCTGTTTCCTGCCTGTTTCCTGTCTGTTTCCTCCCTGTTTCCTGCCTTTTTCCTGCGTCAATCCTGTCTGTTTCCTGTCGGTTTCCTGCCTCAATCCTGTCAGTTTCCTGCCTCAATCCTGTCTCTTTCCTGTCTGTTTCCTCCCTGTTTCCTGCCTCAATCCTGTCTGTTTCCTGCCTTTTCCTGCGTCAATCCTGTCTGTTTCCTGTCGATTTCCTGCCTCAATCCTGTCAGTTTCCTGCCTCAATCCTGTCTGTTTCCTGCCTTTTTCCTGCCTCAATCCTGTCTGTTTCCTGTCGGTTTCCTCCCTGTTTCCTGCCTCTATCCTGTCAGTTTCCTGCCTCAATCCTGTCGGTTTCCTGCCTTTTTCCTCCCTCAATCCTATCTGTTTCCTGCCTCTATCCTTTCAGTTTCCTGCCTCAATCCTGTCGGTTTCCTGCCTTTTTCCTCCCTCAATCCTATCTGTTTCCTGCCTCTATCCTTTCAGTTTCCTGCCTCAATCCTGTCTCTTTCCTGCCTCAATCCTGTCTGTTTCCTGTCGGTTTCCTGACTGTTTCCTGTCTCAATCCTGTCTGCTTCCTGCCTCAATCCTGTCTCTTTCCTGCCTCAATCCTGTCTGTTTCCTGTCGGTTTCCTGACTGTTTCCTGTCTCAATCCTGTCAGTTTCCTGCCTCAATCCTGTCTGCTTCCTGCCTGTTTTCTGTCTCAATCCTCACTGTTTCCTGTCTGTTTCCTCCCCGTTTCCTATTTTTTTTTCCACATTACTGTCTTGTTTTCTGTCTTTTTCCTGTTCCCTACATTTGATTATGTGATTATGTGAGTCGTCCTCTCAATTTATTTCTCTCTCAGCTGAGGTGATTTTGAACTTTTTGTGACTTGTGACCATGGTCCTGGAAAAGCCTGGAAATATCAGGGAATTTCAAGGACTAGAAAAAGCCATGAAAATGTTTTTTTTTTTTTTTTTTAATTGTATAATTTCGGAAAAGTCAGTTTCCATAGTCAGTATACATTTATTTTAAAGATATGTTAAATTCTAAATAATCGCATTCTTTGACTACAAATGACTCCTATACAATATTTTATCTTTTAAGAAATTATAGTATCCTATAAAATGTATGGAAATGATGAGCTGCTTCATAGTGCTTTGTTTCCGTTTGCAACATCGACGGTTATTAAAATGCACGCTGAAGTGACGCAAGATGAATGACACTATTGTCTTCTTTACAGCCAGAATATGAATTCATCTCATATTTTAAGTTTGCATCATTGATTCTCTTATTTTCCCGTTTATGAAGGCGAAGTTGCTTTGAAACAAACCCATAAAGCTGTATAAGAATTAAAGATATACATTTTCCGTGCTAAAAGCGCAGGTCTGTCTCCGAGCAGGGCTTGTTTTTATCGTCTGGCCACTCCTGTGAAAGCATCTCATGTGACTTTCAGCATGTGCTCTGTGTTTTCCTGACACTGGGCGCTTTCTGCTCATGATGAGGTGTGCTAGCGTGGGCCTGTCAAGACCAATGAAAGCATATCTCTCATTAGGGCCTGTGAGAAGCCCTGAAGGCTCATATTAGGGGGGAAATAAAGAACAGGAAGGGCGTGAGAGAGGAAGTGGGCGGTAAAAGAGATGCCGAGTGTTGCGCTGTGTGATCAAAGAAACAGGATTTGACCTATAATTGAGCAAAAAAATAGTGTTCAGTATCAGTTTTTGGTATTTTTGTGTCTCAGATTGACCTGTGAGTGTGTTTTTCCAACATCGCCCAGATGCACTTGAACGAGGTTGATGTGCTGTTTTGTTTAGTTTGACCTTTGCCCTCATATGTGAATCTGACACAGTTTCATTTTGGCTTCCATCTTTATGAATTTAAGATGAGACACTCTTAGAAGAAATGGTTCCATCCCCCGCTTCATATTTGGAACTCCAAAATGGTTCTATATAGAACCATTTTTTTTTTGATAAAAGGTTCTATTGGCCAAGTACGGAACCCCAAGGTTCTATATAGAACCCAGAGGAACCCTTTTTTTAAGAGTGTATAGAACCTTTTAGGGGTTCCAAATACATAGCGCTGATAGAACCTTTTAAGGTTCTATATAGAACCTTTTCTTCTAAGAGTGTATAATGCTTTTTTCCATGTTCAACTTTCTTTAGTGTGTAATTTTGCTGTTTGAGCATGAAAACTTATTCTCTGAAACGCCTCCATTGTAGTCTTGAGTCTCTCCAAAGAACGAACACGTCACAATATTCCTCGTTATAATAGTTAATACGCAGAATAAAGGGGCGGGGCCTGATTGAGTGAGTTAGTAGTGTGTTAAACTGGTGGTTATGGAAAGGGGCGGGACATTTCCCAAACACACGTGAAGCCCTCGACCCAGCCGACCAATCAGAGCACAGTGTGCTTTTCAGAAGGAGGGGCTTCATAGAGACAGGAAGTAAACAGAGCGTTACTGACAGACTGGGAAGAGAGGAGCCGCAACAATGGAGAATATGAGGAAAATAATGAACATTTAAGCAGGAAAACCTGCTCTAGTAGAGCCTCTTTAAAGTGTGAATGGCATTGTTTTCTGAAATATTCCACTTCAGTTATTTTGTCCTATTGGGAATCAGTCCACAAAAGTGAGTTGTTCTCTGTCAGATATTCAGTCAGGTCCCGCCAAGAGTAGGAAACACACGTCATACTGACACAAAACAACTCTATCTGAGACTGATGAAGTGGAGGAGGATCCAGACAGACTTCTGCGAGTCTCTCGAGTATGAAATCATCTCTGACTCATGTGTGTCTGCTTATTGAGATCATTTACTCCGATTAAATGGCATGTTTGTTTGGCATGCTTTACTACTCATGCTATTATGCTTATTTATGTATTTATGGAATACTTGGATGACTTACAAGTACCAAAATGTGCAGCACACATCCAAAAGCACATTGTGTAAGATTTTGTATCCCACAATGCAAAGCACTTCCATTTCTAGTGTGATGATGCATCTGGAAAACGTTTTACCATAAATTGTAATAAAATTACAAATTGTAATTAAAGCTGCAAGCAGCATTTATCGGTGTTCAAGCAGTTCAGATCTTTAAGGCATTTAGGCAAGGCAGGCAAGGCAAGTTTATTTATATAGCACATTTCATACACAATGGCAATTCAAAGTGCTTTACATAGAAGAAATTAAAATAATCCAAAAAAGAAATCAGAATAATTAAAACAGTTTAGAATAAAAAATAAGAAATAATGAAAAATTAAAAAAAAGCACAAAAGCATCAAAAGACATTAAAAAAAGCATCATAAGCACAAAAGCATCAAAAGACATTAAGTTGTATGTAGCAAGCATGATTTATCATGATATACTACATTTCAGTGTGATATTACATAATTAACCTTGTTCCAATATGAATTAATTTAACCACAGACCACTATCTAAACGACCCTGTTACAGCCAACCAAATGCAAAATTTCAACTTTTTTTTCTCGATAATTATTGATCTAGAGAGTCCAGAGAATCGGCCTAGACTGGTTTGGTCGAAATAACATTGCTCCAAATGGAAATCCGAGATATACATCTTGTCCGTCTTGAGCCAGGGATAACAGTGGTGTAAAAACATTAAAGCTAAGTCAAACGGTCTAGGAGTTATGAGCAATTTAGTACTTTTGGTTGCTGTAGCGCCACCTATGGGCCAATCGGGCTCATACTCTGATAGCTTCTCCACAATTTGAGGCCCTACCATCTGACAAAGTTTCAGAGCTCCAGGCCTTACGGTTTGGGCTGCACGATGCGTTTTAGGGGATTTTTTTTTCTTTCTAGCAAATACAATAGATTTTCATCACTTCGTGCTTGAACACCTAATAAATAGTTTCTATATAGAAAATACATTTTCATAATATGATGAAGTATGCATGCTAGAAACCTTGCAATAGTTAATTATTTAGAATTAGATAGATGCTCATTTAATAGTAAAAGTATTAAATATATATTTGTTGGCTGAGACTGTCCTTTAACTTTGGTGTATAAATTCCAAGATGTGTTTGATTTTTGCTTTGATTAAGTTTCTCTCTCTCTGTTTCTGCTTTTATTTGTCCCTGCTCAATCCCACAATTCCTCTGTGATATCATTGCTGGAGCATGTGTGTGTGTGTGTGTGTGTTGGATACATCAGCGCTGCGGGTGAGTCAGGTGGAATGTTCAAGCTTGTGTTTTCCTGTGGCCGTTTAGTCATGAAAGCTGAACTCAGATCAGGTCTGAGACGGTTTATCCAGACAGGCTCAATGAAAGGTCTTTTCATGCGGACTGAAAGGAAAGAGCAGGATTTGTAGGGGCTTGTGTCAAATTAATGAATTGCCGTGCCGTTGTGAGAGGATCTTTTACTGTGTTCTGGCTGCCGGGAATGTTTGGGAATGAGCGGAGCACTTCAAGCGCTCGGACCGCCGGCTCCCGCTCAAACATCAGGCGGGATTTACACCAGATTTATTGCTTGTGTAACGAGGACACTTGGCCTGTAGTTTCGTCTAGCCGGACGTTTGACTGTCAGCAAAAACTGTGGCTCAGCTTCAAGAGTTTTTTCTGTACAAACACTCTTCATTTTTAATATATATATATATATACAGTGTATATATATAAATTATATTTAAATATGAAACTTTATTTAAATTCAGTTCACACACACACACGCTATTAATGTATTATTTTATATTATATTATTTTATAAAAAAACACACTCATATATACACTTTTTATATATATATACATTTTTATATATATTTATGTATATATATTATTTATATATATATATAAAATGTTATAAAAAATATTTGTTTTTATTAAAAATCGTAATATATTTTAATTTAGTTTATAAACAAGTTAAATTAAAACGTTTTAATTTAGTTTATATATATATATATATATATATATTCTATATACCTATAAAATATATTAATTTAAAAAATATATATATATATATATGTGTGTGTATATGAACTAAATTAAAATATAGTAACCCATTTTAAATAAAAACATACATATTTAGGGCCCAAGCCCTGAAAGGGCGAAGGCCCTATTGTTTTCCTTAGGATTATTCTTTTCTATTATTAGGGCCCAAGCCCTGAAAGGGCGAAGGCCCTATTGTTTTCCTTGGGATTATTAGGGCCCAAGCCCTGAAAGGGCGAAGGCCCTATTGTTTTCCTAACGATTATTATTATTATTATTATTTATACGACTATTCGGGCACTTTTGGGGCCCTTAACATGCTCAAAAACTCTTGAAACTTTGCACACGGGTCAGAACCCGCGGCCATCAGGGCCGGGCTGAAGATGGTACCCGGGCGTGGCAGGGGGGCTAGACAGCGCCCCCTGGAACGGGGTCCGAACACTTGGTCCATAAATCAAACACGCTTGCATGTAATAATATGAAACTCGGTACACATGTTGATCTCATCGTTTCATCTATACCTCGTGCTTTTACTTTTTACCCCAGCCCAACAGGAAGTCGGCTATTTAGGGTTGTTCGTAAAACACTCGCAATGGAATTTTTAATACTCCTCCTAGAGCTTTGATCCAAATTCGACGAAACTCGGTCAGCGTGAAGTCAAGACATTGAGGATGAAAGTTTGCGAGGGGATTTTTGATATCTCGAACGGTTTGGCCGTGGCGAGGAAACAAAATCATGGCGAGAAACGTGAAACAGGAAGTGTATCATAACTTCAGCACACATCAACCGATCTTGATGAAACTTCAGCAGTGTGTTCGCTGTAAGAGGACGATCACATGGATGTGACTATTGTGAGTCAAAGTTATAGCGCCACCAACTGGCAGCAGGAAGTGTGTCACTTTCAAAATGCTTTGATATCACCCTTTTATTTTTACCCGATTTGCTTCAAACTTCATATGTATAATGTAAACATACGGCAGATGTAGACCTGTGAATGGATTCTTGATATCTTTGAAACTGTTGCCGTGGCGACCCATCAAACTTTACCCTTCTTTTAGGATGCTTTTAGGATGCTTTTGAGACCCTTAGCATGCTTCAAAATGCATGAAACTCGACAGACACATCACATTTATTAGCCAGTAGACATGTGCAAAGTTTCAGAAACGGGCGTGGTGAGGGCTCAGTAGCGCCACCTTTTGACAAAAGTGGGGTTGTTAGTTTTAACTAGAGTTACAAAAATTGGTATGTATATTGTACTCCTCGAGCCGGACAACTTTCTAATTTACACTTATTAGCTAGGACCCACAGAAACTCAGATATTTTTGTTTGAATATGGTCACTCTGAGCCTACATGTCTCTGTGTCTTTGGCTGTCTTTGGCTGTCTTTGGCTGTCTGTGTGTGTGTGTGTGTGCCTGTGTGTGTGTGTGTGCAGGGGGAGGGGGCTTAACCATTTCACTGCTGTGTGTATGACCTGCATAAAGAAAATACATTTCTCAAGCCTGGTATTTTTTAAATAAGTTTTTATTTTTGTTTTTTATAAGTAAAGACATATAACTAGTTTAATTGTAGTGCATTGACAATAGTTTTATATAATTAGTTTATTAATCAGATTAACTTGGTCAATAAACTTGGTCTGAAAATTTGGTCCATAAATCAAACACACTTGCATGTAATAATATGAAACTTGGTACACATATAGATCTCATCGTTTCATATATAGCCTACTTCACACTCTTACTTTTTACCCCAGCCCAACAGGAAGACGGCTATTTAGGGTTGTGTTTAAAACACATGCAATGGAATTTAAAGTATTGCTCCTAGAGCACTGAACCAAATTCGACAAAACTCGATCAGCGTGAAGTCAAGACATTAAGGATGAAAAGGTGCCAAGGGATTTTTTATATCTCGAACGGTTTGGCCGTGGCGAGGAAACAAAATTATGGCGAAAAACATGAAACAGGATGTGTGTTATAACTTCAGCATACATTAACTGATCTTGATGAAACTTCAGCAGTGTTTTCGCTGTAAGAGACCGATCACATGGATGTGACTATTGTGAGTCAAAATTATAGCGCCACCAACTGGCAGCAGGAAGTGTGTCACTTTCAAAATGCTTTGAAACCACTCTCTTATTTTTAACCGATTTGCTTCAAACTTCATCTGTATAATGTAAATACACGGCAGATGTAGACCTGTGAATGAATTTTTGATATCTTTGATACTGTTGCCGTGGCAACGAATCAAACTTTAACATTCTTTTTGATGCTTTTGGGACTCTTAGCATGCTTGAAATTGCTTGAAACTCAACAGATACATCACATTTATTAGCCAGTAGACATGTGCAACTATGGCAAAAGATTAAAGTAATGTCAAAAAAGTAAACACTAAAAGCCTCATATCTTCTAAAAATGTAATTATACATCATTTGTTTCTAAATTAAATTATACAAATATTATAACTTCCCCAATTTTTCCTTTTTTCATTTAAGAATTATGTTTACGTTCAAAAACAGCCAGAATTGTTGTAAAATTCATAAAAAAATAATAATCTGAGTCATACGTAGTGCTATACTGCCCTCTTGTGTTCAATATCAGGTAGGCCTATTGTGTATATTCCCACCGGTTAATCAACGTGTGACTCCGCTGGGACTTGGGAGCTTTTAAATCGCTTACTTAAAACCGAAAGTCGAAATACGGATGTCCGCACAAGACATTAATGGTGTGGAGTAGAGCGAGCATTTTAAATAAATTCCTATTAAGTAGGATTGAACTAAACAGAAAGAATGTTCACTCTGTTCTGCTGGTTCCTCGCTGGTGGATCATATGATTACTTTGTCATAATCTATGACAAA